CTATTTTTATGTACAGTGGTAGGAAAAGAGAAAACCATGATGCCAAGCCAGTAACACATTTGTTACTTGGTGCCCTGGAGACGCTCAAACGATTCGTGTGGTGATATTTAACTTGGTATTTCTTGCTAGGCTTATGTTACAGCAGAGAAATCATTTCCTTACTCTCCAGCATGTACTTCTTGGCAATGGGCAGGGAGAGCAGCCTGATGTGCCCGATGAGGGAGCCCCAGGCATGGGCTCTGGAGAGAGGAGCTTCGGGTGGCAAAGGGCTGTATGGCTGGATCACGAAGTAAACAGTCAGCAAGACCAACCCCAGTGTGAGCAGGCCCTGAGAGAGAAAAGAGGCAGAGAATTAGTTCTACTGCAGGGGAGCTGAGGCTGTCCTCAGAGCAGGACACATCTGCTGGCTGGTAACACAGTGGCTCATATTTGTGCTGGGGCTCCTTGCTCAGCTGCAATGCTATTTCTGGACACAGAGCTGTCACTCAGCTTTCCTGTGAGGGCTGTCCAAGGATGATGATATTAAACAGCCTTCAAACCCAAACCACACAACCCTGCTCCTGTATTTTAGCACTGCAAACAATCCAGCACGAGATCAATGAGGATTATCTGCAGACAGTTCCGATTCCTCCCACCTAATCAAACAGGAGCTTGCACTGCTGCCATCCCCTCTTGCACAAGGAAAACCCTGTGGCTTTTGCAAACATCCGTCAAGCCTCGAAACACTTTGGCAGAGTTGGCACCAGCTCCCTCCTCCATAGCAGAATCCCAAATAAGCCTTCAAGAGATGACATGACGCATTTCTCCCCCTGGCCAAAGTCAAACTGAATCAACAGCAAAAACAAGCACAGAAGCTGAAAGTTCAAATTTGCAGTTTCCTCTTCTCCTGCCTCATTTTACAGCTTTTTATAGGACACAGGGAAGAAAGCTTGAAAGTTTTTTTCCAAATAGAAACCATTGCAATGGTTCTGTAAAGACAACACTAAAGTATTACTGAATGCTATGCCAGTGGGAAGGTTTTCATCCTTGTAGCAAATATCTGGTCTAGTAGGTGTCCCTGCCTGTGGCAGAGGGTTGGAACTAGATGATCTTTAAGGTCCTTTCCAAGCCAAACCATTCCAGCATTCTGTGTTCTCCAATAGCATCTTTTCACCCACTTTGCAAAAAACTTGCTACAGCATCTTTTAGATCAAGGTCTCAAAACATTTTTCGAGCATTCAGCATCAGGCCAACAGTTTATTTCATAGACTAGAAGGAGAATCCAGCCAGGTAGAAGCTTGTGGCAGGGTCAGAAACAGAGCCAAATTCTCTTCATTACTCAAATCTGAACTTTGAGAATCTCCTTCCTTCCTTCCTCACATTTCCACTGAGGATGCCAACACTGGGAATCTTTGTCTGCAAAATCCATCCAAATCTCATTATTTAATAATTTAAGGGAGAGGAAGGTGTTGACAGGGTCAATTTTCAGCACACATGAGCAATTTTAAACCACCATCAGCTGTCTCCTGCTCTCAAACCGGTTCATGGCATCAAGGAAGGAAGCTACACTTCCCAGCTTTTTAAATAAAGATCTTGGAAAATTCATCAAGCAAATGCCATGGGAAATAAAAGCCTCTGTTGCAAAAGGAGAACTCTAACCCTCAAATGATATGCACAAACCCATCTTACCTTGTAGAGAGCCACCAAGACAGGGTAGCGCGGAGGGCCTCGCTGGGGCTCGTTCCTCTCCAAGAGCTGCTTGATGAACTTCTCAATGGCTTTTTCTGACATGCCACACTGGTGGCCAGTCTGCCTCACCAGATCAATGGTCTCTGAGAGCTTGTCATAGATGCTGAGCTCATTGGCTGAAAGTTCCATGGCCTCTGATGGAGAATCCCTGTGGAGAAATTCGGTGTATTAACAGACTGTGGTCGCACAGCCCAACAGCAACGTGTGCAAGGGGATCCCAAAAACAGGGCAATGCCCAAGAAGGCTTCTCTGGAGCAAACCCACTCACAGCCAACAACATTTAGCTACAATCCTACCAGTCTCTGCTGGTTCAGTATCTCCCAAGGACTGAAAGAAGCCGTGAAATCTCCTGACAAGAGCAGAACAGGCTGAGCTTCACAGCTTATGTAAATGAACAAAGCTTCCCAGAAATCAATGAAACTCCATTTATTCATCTCTTCCAAATGAATCTGTCCCATAAAGCGATTGCTCACCCAGCACAAAAGCCAACAATGCAAAGCTGATCACCACACTTAGCCCAGCTAAGCTCTCCCTTTCCCCGCTGTAATTTCAGTCGCTTCTTTTTCACCTCGACTTGTTTGCATCAAATCCCCTGTCAGCAATAGGCACAGGACAGAGAAACAAGCAGGATGTGTATGGGGACAAAGTGCAGCAGTTTATAATTTGTTGAAATTTTCGCAACCTAATGTCCAGGCCAACTGATTATTGAGTAACAGCAGTGTGATAGCAGCTGCTCTGCAGGCAACAAAGCTCCCACCTTGCCCTCCAAGTTTGCCTGCAGGTCATTCCCAGGCAGAGATGCCACAGAACTAACTACCCCAGCAAGAACACACCTAGCAGTAACACTGAAATAACAAAAAGGAGAAATGTGCTCCTCCAGCACTCCCCTCTGCCCCAAAGGCAGGGCCTGGCCATGCTGGGAGCAGCACATGGGATGAAGATGTAAAGAAACTGTTGGACCAGCTAATAGCTGCCCATGTGAGAATCTATTTGTTAGACTTTTTGCCTTGGAAAAACACTGCTGGGGGAAGGAAAGGCACTGAGGTGTTGCTTTGCCTCTTGTTTCTGCGCGGGGAAAATTCTAACCTGGATCAAACTGGGACAACTGGAACTTTCTGGGGAGAGAGAGTTTAGCAATGCTCTGCCCTGAAAGCACAGACCAAGGACCATCACGTGAAAACACCAGCACAATCAATACTCACAGCTGGAAATGAAACCAGGCCCCTGTTCCCCTTTTGCTCTAGAACTACCTTGAGCCCAGGAACCAGCTCATGGATCCACTGTGCTAGACAAAGTCTGTGAGAACTGCACAACTGCTCCCAGGGCTCTGCTCTGCACACACCTCACAGCACAACCTGCCCCTTAGCAGCACAGATCTGCTCTGCTCACCTGAGAACAGCTGACAGGCCCTGCCTAATGTGCCACCTAAACTTATATTTGCTCAGCTGTAACTCCTTCTGGCTTCTCCCACAGCACAAATCAGCCACAAATCTATGTGTGTATAAAGAAAGAGAGAAGATGGAGTTCAGATTTGAACACTGATGTGCCTTTAAAGACCTGGCTGACAGTTCTTCTCCTAAAGCATGGGCTCCTACAAGTCAGAACTCAAGCAATGCCAATTCTAACATCTTTTTTTTCCTGCAGTGCTAGGGTGTATTTCCAATAACTTCATTTTGCAACAAGACTACCAGCTTGAGCCATTGCTCCTCTCCCTGCAGGATCAACCCCTTGTTCTGTTCTTGCACACATGTTTACATGGTCACATGGTGAATCAGATCAGGAAAATTATCTGGCTGAAAAATAACCCTGATTTGTTTGGTCAGCAACTGCCTAAGCATCCAACTCCTGCAGTTAATGTCAGATGTTAGATTAACATGAGTATCAAATTTCCAGCCACAGCCTTAGAAACACCAAAAGGGTAAAATGCCAAATTAAAACCTAACCCCACGTGCACAATGAGAACATGCTGCACTACATTGCCAGGTTAATTAGCTCCTGGCCCTTTTTTCTGCCGACATTCCTTGTGTTCCATGCAAATATTTGTCCCAGATCTTGCCACCTGAGCAGCCCCATGGGCAAGCAAAGCTGTCCCAAAGCAGGTGGGATCAATAATATCTCATTATAGATTAAGCTCTCCAAGGCAAGGACCTTTTCTTCTTGTCTGTAAAGCACCTGCCACACATGTGACTATAAAAACAAGGCATTTACTAACTCTTTCATTCATACAATACCCTGACTCATGTAACAAGCCACAGCCAGCACATCTGCAGGATATTAAATGCCTGTTTTTCCCTCCCCAGCTTTTCTGATTGCTCTGGTTGCCTCAACGCTGTAACTGGTGTGCTAAATGGTCTGAAAGGTTATCTCCTGTCCTCTGGCTCACGTGTGCCAAAGCTCTTCCCTCTGAAGCTGTCCCATTCCAGCAGATTCAGCAAGCTTCCCCAGCTTGCAGAATAACAACTATCCCTACAGAAATGCTGTCAAACACGGTGGTTTCCCCCTTTCCAACCAGCAGAAGATCCAACACTGAGATAGAACCCAGTTCTCCACCTTGAGCAAACACCTCTGTAGACAACCCCTGCAAGCCACAGCCACTCAAAACTGAGTTTTTCTCCTTGATGAACTCAAAGAGTAACCCACATCCTCCACTGGGAAATAAGGCATTATGCTCCCACATGGCTGGCAGAACAGACAAGCCCTTCAAAAACAAAAAACCAACTAACAACACATTATTTTCCTTCCTATCCTCAATACAACCAACAAAACAATAACAACAGCCTACTGTACTCACTTCAGCATCACACACACTGAGCAAGGCTTATCCCTTGCAGACAGCAACCTCTTGCAGACAGGCCTCTAAATGAGGAACACATATGTTACTGCTGGGGTTTTATGAACTTCACCACCCTGGGAGGAATAAGCAGGAGGAATAAGCCACTCCATAAACACCAACAGCAAAGCCACTTGGCTTTGAAGGGTTTGCCCCCAGTGCTGCCTGCAGACCCGAGGGTGTTTAACCCAAAGCTTTAGAAGGTAAATATTTAGAGAGAAACGCTGCCTTTAAAAGGGAAAGCTTGCTGGTGAACCCACAACAACACATACATATATATATATATACACACACTCACATATAAATACATTCCCATCTGCTTTATCACTCTCGATGCCACCTCCCTTCCCTGCCCGGGGCCCAGGAGAACATCCTCTCCGGAGAGACCCTCACCCTGCAGCATCCCACTCATCGCCAAGGTTTGGCCCGGAGACACGGGGGGGGTATGTAGAAAAACACCCCGAGAAAACGGAGCAGCTCATGGTATCCCCCCTCCCGCAACAGGGCTGGGGG